TGCTCTGTTGGGCCTCATGGTGTTGTTGCCTTCATTGTCTTTTTCTAGGATCTTGTTTAGAATTGCTTGTAGTGCTGGTTTGGTATTCATGTAGTTTCTCAGGTGTTCTTTCTCATGGAAGTGTCTTATTTCCCCATCCATTTTGAAAGAGAGTTTTGCTGGATACATCAGTCTAGGTTGGAGGTTGTTCTCTTTTAGTACTTGAAATATCTCATTCCAGGCTCTCCTTGCTCCAAGGGTTTGTGTTGAAAAGTCTGCTTTGATTCTGATGGGCTTTCCTTTGTATGTGATTTGTTTCTTTTCTCTTACTGCTTGTAGTATTTTGTTCTTCTGTTGGGTTTCTGGGATCTTGATTATTATATGTCTAGATGTAGATTTTTTTTTATTGTAGCTAGTTGGGTTCCTATATGCCTCACTTATCTGAATGTCAAATTCTTCCCCTCTGTTTGGGAAGTTTTCTGTCATTACTTGTTTGTACAGCTTTTTAAAGTCATTTGTATTTTCTCCTGCTACTTCATGTATTCCTATCAGTCTTATGTTATTCTTCTTTGCATCATCTAGGAGTTGTTGGATCGATTTCTCATGGTCTCGTACTGTATTTAAGAGACCTCTCTTTTCATGGTCACTGACTGCAATCTTATCTTCTATATCTGAGATTCTATCTTCGCATTCTTTTATTCTGTTGCGTAAACTTTCAATAGAGTGTTTAATCTCCTGGATATCTGTTTAAATCTGTTTTATGGATTACATTTCTTTCCTGTGTTGGGCGTTTATTTTTTCCATTTCTTTCCTGTGCTGGGCCTTCATGGCTTCTATCATGGTCCTGAGCTCATCTATTTTTTGTCAGTTTCTACTCTAGAGTCTTGAATCACGACTTCCATTTTGCTCACTATCTCTATGGTTATCTGGGAAATTATTTCTGCTTTGAATTTTTCTAGAGCCTGATTGATCTGTTTTGTTACTTCCTGTGCTTTGAGTTCAGGGTGTCCTGGCGGTTCACTATCGGCCTTTTCATCCTCATTTGCCCTACTGTTTGCCATTGGTGAACTGGAAGTCTGTCCTTGTGTCTTGCTTAAGTGTTTTCTCATTTTTATTTTTATTGTCGGACTGTCCTTGGTTTAATCTCTGGATTATTACCCAAATCTTCCTGATATAGTTGTGCCCTAGCTTCTGGGTCTCTAACAACCCACAAACATTCTCATCTTCATAACATCAGAGAAAACAGCTCATCAAATCAACCACAATGTTTTATCCCAACTGATACAATCAGCAACACATTAAGATCAAGCACAACTTTTGACACTGACCACCAGTAGTAGTCAAGAAGCAGTCCAGAACATGTCTGCAGTGAACAAAATTTCCATATAGTGTATTTTACCATTTAATGGCTCAGACAGAGCAAGGATGCAAGACCCCTGATCTCAGTTAGCTGATGGCTGAACCCCATGACGCTGACTGACCTCAGGCTGCAAGGCCCAGATTGAGTTCCCCAACCTTCTGAATGGTTGAACTCCACAACGTTTTATTACAGGTTTCCCATGCCCTTTCTTTAAAGATGTTCAAAGTTGGGAACTCAGAAAAATACCCTTGATGACCACCTCTGCCTCTGCAGAGTGGGTCCAAAGACTGGCACAGTCAGGAGGTCTGAGACTGTGGTGTGTGTGTGGGGTATAGGGGTTCAGGGGCGCCCGCGCGGCTACCTTCCCGGCGCTTGAGTGATGGCGGCTGGGTAGGGAGCAGACGTGGTTCTCCTTCCCGCGGTGGATCGGGGCCTAGGCTCTGTTTATAGTATATCTTGTTTTGTCTTATGCTTTATCTTCCCCCATGACCTTGTCTTTTTAGGTTTGTTGAATTGTTGCATCTCTTGGTGTATTGTTTGCATAAAATTTGGAAAATATTTGACCTCCCTCCTTCCCTCTTTTCCTTCCTTCCCAGATACCAATCTATTCATCTGTTTCTCTTTCTTTTCTATTGGGAACTCAGCTGTTTTCTTTCTTCCCTTTTTTTTTCCAACTTCTTTCAGTGGCTTATCTTTTCTACTGTATTGTTTAGTCTGCTTTTTTTTTTTTTTTGGTACCGAGGATCAAACTTGGGTCCTTGCACTTGTGAGGCAGGCGGCCAAACCACTGAGCTAAATCCTCGGCCCTGTCTAGTCTACTTTTAATCCTATCCAATGACAATTTTATTCTCATATCTTATTTCTTTCTTAAATTTTTATTCAACTCCTCTATCTTTATACTTTATCATCTTTGAGTACATGGGGTATATTCATAATACCTTTTCATAAGATATTTATTTCACTCTCTTGATGAAAGCAAGAAAATAGGTTTTCTTATGTATTATTTGTGGAAAAATAAATTGGTAGAAACCCTACTGTAGCAATTTGCTAATATCTGTTAGTAATCCACCTTTATCCATGGCAGATGCATTTCAGAACCTCCAATAAATGTGTGAAACCTATGTATATTGTGTTTTTCCTATATGTACACACTTATAGCAAAGTTTATTTATACTTATTAGGCACAGTAAGAGTTGAACAAGCGGGCTGGGGATTTAGCTCAGAGGTTCAGTGGCCTGCCTTGCAAGCGCAAGGACCCGAGTTCAATTCCCGGTACCAAAAAAAAAAAGGTTTGAACAACAATAATAAAATTAGAAGAATTATAACAAACAGTAGTAAATGTGTGGTCTCAAAATAGGTCATTGTATTTTCATCTTTTCACTTAAAGGAAACACTTTGGGATATCTAAATCAGCATTACTACTCTTTTGCTTTAGGGCCATTATTTAGTAAAATATGGGTTTCTTGAATACATGTACTGTACTATCAGAATTGGTCTGTAACTCAGCTGGTTATTATGGAACTGATGGGCACAGAGCATATCCAGTGTATATACACTAGATAAAGGGATTATTCACATTCTGGGAGGGATGGAATGAGATTATTCATGTTATTCAGAGAAGTATACATTTGAAAACTTATAAATCATTTTCAGAATTTTCCATTTAATATCTTTGTAACCTTAGGTAACTGAAACTGTGCAAAGTAAAGTGATAAGGGTAGACTATTGTGTATGTATTTATATAACATACAATAATACCAGATAAAATACACTATATTATAATATGATTTTTATAATTACTGTATAGTTATGAGTGATTTTATGGTAGTTATACTGCAGTTACTAAGAAGTATATGTATAAGATCCTATCTTGTAGGTTTAAAGGGGGGAGAACTAAGACTACATAGTACAAGAAGCTAATAAAAGGTTAGTTTTTGGGGTGCTAGGCACATGAGGAAGAGGGCTTGGAAGGAGACCAAGTATATACCAGTGTATACCTTTGTATATCATTTGATCACTATCTGATTATATTGTCTATTAGAATAAAAAGTTTTGTAAAAGGTCTTAAGGAAAATATTTCTTCTCTTTTCTTATTAGTAAGCTAAAAAAGCTGAGTGAAGACAGTTTGACTAAGCAGCCTGAAGAAGTTTTTGATGTCTTAGAGAAGCTTGGAGAAGGGTAAGTATAAAAAATATGAAAGTAGCATTTACATGATGACAGAACTATTAAAAAACTAATCTTTCAACTAGAATATATTTGCTTGAATTGAATAACAACATCAAGTAAATTTGGCAAATAATAATGGAATTTTGAATATTAGGTTATCCCAAATTGAGTAATTGTGTCTTTCCATGTGTACGTATGTGTGTGTAGCAGAAACTGTGCTGTCAAATGGTTTCTAAGTGGTTTGTTAGTTTATCCCATATGACATCTTAGTAAGTTTGAAATACTTTGTTGGTCAGGTGATGTTGGCCAACTTTTAGTATTGTGGGGCTTATTTTATTTGGGAAAAGGTAAGTACGTAGGTGTGAATTGAATGTCTTAGTGAAGAAGTCAGTGTGTATAGGCAGAGGCATACTTAACATGGTTTCAGATTAATAGTAGAGAAACTTCATTTTGAGTATAGAGAATGATAGGGAGTTTTTAATGGAATGACTAAAGAAGATATATAAAATAATAAAAAACAAAATTAGTAACAACAAGAAATTAGAACAAGAAAAAGGAAATACAGGGGAAAATATAAAATAATAAACATAAGATGAAGCAACACAAGTATATTTTTCACTAAATGTTCATTTTAACATTTAAAAGACCAACTGTTAGAGCAAATGTAAAATGTAGGGCTGGGGGTTTAGCTCAGTGGTTCTACCACCTGCCTTGCAAGTGCAAGGTCTTGAGTTGGATCCCTGGTACCAAAAAAAAACAAAAACACTAAAACCATGTACTACTTTTGTGGAACTCATGTAAAACAAAAAATGGAACTCTTAAGGTTGTTTCTTATATTAAAAAATCAATAAACATACAAAGAAAATAGGAAAGTAAGAATAACAATGTTTGTATTAAAGTTAATAGGTCCCACCTGAATTTAGAGGGACATTAGGTAATGAACTGTGACAATTTATAACATAACATTTGTGTCACTAAACATGGTAGCCAAATTTATAATGGAAAGATTATAATAATGTCAAGGGAATTTAGTAAAATTCTAATTGTGTGAAATATTTCAATTTATCGCTTTCAGAACTGGGCAGATATAATAGAAAAAAGGACAGAGGAATTAGACATCAATGCATTTGATTATACAAATATATGTATAAGTAAAGTACTTATATGTCTGCATTTTTATGATTGTATTCTTACATTCCTTTGTATTTATGGACATAGAAAAATGACAAATTCTAAAAATACAGTGTTTCACATTTTCCAGTTGTATCCTACTAAATTAGAAATAATTACAAAAATGAAAAACTCATATTAATTGGAAAGTAGGGAAAGTAATCTGAGGTTACCTCTGGATTGAATTAGCAGAACTAATTTTATGAAAAGTTTTATATTCTTTTATTACCAAGAAAGGAAAAAATAGCTGGGTATAGTGGTGTACACCTGTAATCCCAGCACTTGAAGGGCTTAGACAGCAGAATGACAAGTTCAAGGCCAGCCTGGATTTAAGGTTTGAAGCCAGCTTCAGCTACACAGTAAAACCCTGTCAAAACACACACACACACACACACACACAAATATATATATATATATATGAATGATTTGAAATAAGAAAAAACTATAACCACTGATGATAGGGAAACGATTTTAAGAGTTAAGATTGTATTATATACTGCCCTGTGACAACTAATTTGAAAATCCAGAAGAAATGGATTTCCCTGAAATATTCATATTATGTGACCTGAGCCCCAAAGAAGTTAAAACTTAAATAGATAAAAAAAAACACCCAAAAACGCCTAAATAGATATATTACCTCAGAGACAGTAGTTGAATATTTGGTTGTGGAAACAATCCCAAGTATCCATGAACTGATGAGTGGATAAACAAAATGTTACATCTCTGTACAATGCTATTTCAGTCATAAAAAGGAATGAAATCCTGGTAGATGTTATAATGTGGTTGAACCTCAAAAACATTGCGCTAAATAAAGAATCCAGATACAAAAGGTCTGTATGATTCCATTTATACAAAGTCTCTAGAGTAGCCAAATCCATTGGGATAGAAATGAGATTCTTAATGTCCAGAAGCTATACAGAAGTAATGGTTATACAACATTGTAAACACACTACATACTACTTGTTTGCCACTATAAATGTTTAGGAACTAAATTTTGCATTGTGAACATTTTACTTTTTCTCCCTAGAAATACTTTATCTAGTTTTTTCAGGACAAATAATTGTTCTTTTTCATGAAGTAGGCGTAACTTTAATATTAAGACCTAGATATATGTAAAAAAAGAAAACTCCAATTTAGCGTTGATGTACTACCCATTATATTAACTGTTCCAACCTGATCTCACATGGTTAGTTGAACTTGTCTATCTGGGATACCACCACTGTTAGATTCAGGGAGGTCATTTTAGGGCTGGCATCTGTTGTTATCTCTGTCTTGTGCTGGAGAGATTTCTTTTTCTTTTTTTTTCTCATGAGTTTATTGATACATTTTAGGTATACAGTATACTTACATTCATCATTGGGATCTTTTCATGACAGGTCTTGGTTCTCATTTTTTCCCATTATCCTTGCCCTCCTTTCACTCCCTCCTCCCTTCCCTATTTATAAATACTTTATTTCCATTTTTTCATTTTCTCATGTTTTTTTTTTTCGTTTTCATTATGACCTTTCCCCTACCCTTATTATTTCCAATACACCTTTAGCCCTTTTCTTCCTATTTCACGTTGTCCATTATATCATTAGGATCTTATGTACCATTATAGTTTCTCACACCAGAGAAACTATTCGGTATTTATACATGTGTGACTTACTCATTTCACTTAGGAGTATATCCTCAATATGTGTCCATTTTCCTATGATTGAATCTAATTTCTCATTCTTTATGGCTGAGTAGTATTCCATTTTATAGAAAAACCACATCTTTATCCAGTCTCCAACTGATGGGCAAATGGGTTGTTTCCAAGTTTTAGCTATTACAAACTGTGCCACTGTAAACGTGGTGTGCATATATCACTGTGATATGATCTTTTTCTTGTGCTGTAGAGATTTCTTCTTTAGACCTTGTCTATAAACATAAGGAGTGAATGAACAAATCACATATAATATACAGTCCACCAAAGTATACATCAGGAAAAGAAAAACCTGGTATAAATATTTTAATACTTAATTTATTGAGACATCATGAGATTAATACAATTTATCTTTGGCCTCTACAGTTACAAGAGGTGCTTGAAGTGGTGACCATTAGCTTCCAGGTATTTATTAGTAAGGTGAATGGTTAAGTGTGTATACATTTTTTGGTAGACTCTCTATATCCATTCCAGTAACCTTTTTCCTTAAAACTTTGCATTCCTTTCTTTCATATTTACTGAGGACTGGCTTCTCACTTATTGTAGGCCACTGTTGAGTCTAGATTTCACACAGTTAGCTGAGCAAACTGTTAAAGATGCAAGTCTAGAGATTCTAGACACACCATGTTTGTTCTGACACTGTTCTGCATCCATATCAGTAAATTTCTTTCTCTCTATTTTAGCCTGTTTCCCATTGCTTTAACAAAATACCTGAATGAGATAATATGTAAAGAAAAGAGGTTTGCAGGGTTTGGGGAGAAATTTTTTTAAAAAAGGTGATTTTATATTTTGGACTCTAAAGTTCAAGATTAATAGATCTCATTGGCGTGACTCCTGGTCAGGTCACCCTTGAGTAAGGTACAACACAGCAGGAGTGCAGACAGTAGGGAGAGATCCCATGTTAAAATAGGAAACCAGAGAAGAATTTAGCAGCCAGGCTTGCTTTTTTGTCTGCTCTCTGGAGAACTAACTAACTTACAGTGTGAGGCCAGCATTAATCCCTTCTGGAGACAGTATTGCCAGTGACTTGTTTACCTTGCACTGACCTCTGCTTCTTGAAGCTTCTACCATCTCCCAGCATTGCTTCCTTGAGGATGAAGCTTTAATACAGAATCTATGGCGACACACTAGAATTATATCCAAACCACAACATGTGTTCTTTAGCAGATGTTTCTATCTGCCGACAAAAATTGGCAGAATCTTACACTTTTGGTGTGAATAGCAGCTGCTCCTGGGTTAGATTTATACTCATCACCCTCGTGTCTATAATTATGGGTCTGGAAGCAATGAGGGCTGGTGGTGGAGTGGTCTGGAAGATGTGTCTCAAAAAAATCAATTCAAAAGTGACTTTGTAAGGTGAAATCATAAAGATTTCAGGAATTGTGAGGCCAATTTTCTACAGGAGAGTAGAATTTGTTTTGCTAGCAAAGGAGACTGCATAGGGTTTGGGGGATCAGGTTACTCATTAATGAGAATACCTAAATGTTCAGTACCAATTACCTGGATACCTCTCTTCAGACTGAATGCCTTAATTGTAACATAACATACCTGGTGATTTTGTGTGAATTCAGTTTGCATTTTAATTTACCTAGCAAGCTTATGCATTGAGTTTGCTTTTCAGAACTCCTAGCTTTGTGTCTTTAGGAGTTAGGAAATTCTTTTGGAGCATTCAGAAATTTTTTTGTTCTGCTAGTTTTGATCAGGGCATTTAAATCCCTAGCTCATTATATCCTGTTCTATAAATTTTCCACGGCAGGCAGAGGCAGCAGCCCTTTATATTGTCCTGGAACTTTGTTTTCACCATATAGTCCATTGATACAGCTAATTGGTCTGTCAATTAACTACTTTGCTTAGGCTTCAGGCAACCAAAGGTGATAATTTAAATAACTTTTGCCATTAAGTTCCAAGACTGTCAGTATTCTGTCACTTTATTATTTTTAGTTTTAAGAAAGAAATACTACACAATTTCCTTCTTTAAGGCTTATTTCCCTATGAACTATTTGTTTCTACTTAAACTATGAGTATATTGGTAGTAGGATATGTATGGTCAGGAAGAGAGAAAGTGGCTCTACAAACTCTGAGCACAAAGGATTAGTGTAAAACTAGGAGTTCAAATGTATTGTACAGGGGCCAGGGATACAAAGGTCATAAAAGGTGTTGCCAGAAACTGGAGTAGCCAGCACTGAAGATCTTGGCACTGAGCTGCAAGTTTCTCAGGAGTTCTCTGATAATCTGTGGCAATCCTGAAGAATCTTTTTTTTTTTTTTTTTTTTTTTTTTTTTGGTTTTTTTGAGGCTGACTGGAACTCACTGTGTAGCCCAGGCTGGTCTTGAACTCCCAGCAATCCTCCTGCCTCAACTTCCTGAGTACTGGGATTACAGGTTGCACTACCATGCCCGGCCTGAAGAATCTTTAAGATACTTTCATCAACTGTCTCAGTTTGTAGCTGTGTGTGATGGCTATTAGAAATGCAGCAGGAAGCAACTGTACATTCTCGTGTCTACCAGTGTTTGTTACAAATACATTTTGAGAGGAGTGGTTTTGCTGTAATCTTTTGCATTAATCTTTGTAAGTGTTCTTCTCATTAACAAAAATTCTTAATTGGGAACCTTTTAGGGAAAAGAATTCTGGGAAATGGAGCTCCAGCTTCTCTTTTGGAGTGCTGGAGGAGTCCAGAGAAAGGAGTGCTGGTATTGCTTAACCGACAGTAAATAATCTAGCTCTGAATTCTGTGTTAACTTTTGAGGGAACATATACATATGTTGAGGGAAGATCTTTATACGCATATCCTTAGCCTCTCCAAAGGTAACTTTGGGTGTAAGTTTGAATTAAATTACTTCACAGAGCCCAAAGAAACAGGGTGAGAATCAAATTCATTTTGATGATATAAACTGCTGTATTAATTTCACTTTTTTGGGAGAAGATTGTGAATTTGAAAGTGATTCTGCATATAAATTCTGAATATTAGGAAATATTTTATATCTTTTTTGATAGTTTATTGTTAGTATTCCTATTTTCACATGTACTAGAATTTGTTCAACCTTTCACCCTTTGACGAACATTTACACTGTTTCCCTTTTAATTATTATGAATAAAGCTACTATGAGCATTTGTATACAAGATTTTGTGTAAACACAAATTTTCATTCCACTGCTGGGTTATATGTTTAATAATTCCGTCTTTTAAAGAAGCTGACAAACTAACTTCTAGGATGACTGTATCATTTTTACATTTCCACCAGCTATCCTCCTACTTGCATGATTATAGTGATTTTCTTCTACATATCATACAAATGAATCATGCTTTTGAAAAATCCACTCTGCCAATCTCTGTTTTAACTGCTATATTTAGACCATTTGTGTTGAAAGTAATTATTAATGCATTGGGGCTTAAATTCTTTGGTCCTCTACATTCCTTTTCTTGTTTTCCTTTGGATTATCTGAATTATTTTTAGAATTCCATTTTGATTTATATCATTTTGAGTAAGGAAATACCTTTTATCTGCCAATGCCTTGCTTTGCTTATCTTTCTCTTCTTTAGAAATAATGTAGGGAGAAGACAATGATTCTTGGGGGTCAGTGTGTGAATCCTGAACTTGCTGCTGCTGGTATTTGAGTATGTTTAATCATCTTTTATTAATGATAGTTTTCCTCACAATTGAGAGGGATGAATTTGGTAATGTATGTAAACCCCTATTTAGTAAGAACTCAGTAAATGGTAGGAGCTTAAAATTTTTCTATTTCATAGCAAGTTACAAATGACTTCATTGTTTTTGCTTTTTGAAACACATGAATATTTAATTGGAAGAGTTTCAAGAGTTGGATCAGAGATCGGTTTTGAGCAAGTGGTCATTAAATTTTACCTCTCCGTTTATTTATCTTTGTGTTGTTTTTCTCTTGAGAAGAAAGTGGAAGGAACATTTGGGGAGACCTTGGTTTTGTAATTAGAGAGAGACATATGGCTGGAGATTTCCCTGTTTCTCTACCTTTGGTGTTAGGAGATCTAAGTAGAGAGTTTCAGCTATTCTGAAGGACCTTGAACAGAATTGGGACTTTAATCTTCTGGAGGTTACTTTGTTTAAGATCAATCTTTTCTGCTAACTTGAGACTTTAGCTATTTTTAAATTTACCTTTCATTTTTCAGATTTTTATTTATATTTTAATGCTGCATGTGAGTTAAGAAACCGTAAGTCTATTTCTTTTCTTCATAATATTGCAACTTATATATTAACTTATATATTATATATTTAGGTTTGTAATTGAAGCAGTTAGTTTAATTCTTAACTTTTCTTGTTGCTTTTTACCATTTTTGCCATTTAAATAGTGTTAATAATTGGAAAATACTATGTATAAAAATTCATAGTAGACTTTAATATGATGTTTGATAGGAAAATAATAACATCTTGTGTTTTTAGGTCTTATGGAAGTGTTTTTAAAGCAATACATAAAGAATCTGGCCAAGTTGTTGCGATTAAACAAGTACCTGTTGAGTCTGATCTTCAGGAAATCATCAAAGAAATTTCCATAATGCAACAGTGTGACAGGTATGAAGGGATTTTATTTCTTTGTCCTCATTTTGATAAATTTTATTATTAATGGATAATAAAATGCATTTTAATAATCTATTTAGTTTTTTTCCTGACTTCTCATTGAGGATAGCTTTGTAGAATTTTCTTTTGGATGGTACAGCTCTTTGTAAATGTTGTCAGAACAGCACATACTTGTGATTTTCCAGTCACTTCTACCTATATGTCTCTGTATACCCTCATCCCTCCATTTCTTCACTAAGTTACCTTTGCCTTCTTGCTTCACATCCAGCCCATGCATCTGTCATTACTGTAACTGTGACATTTGTCCTCCCAACTAGACTACCAGCACCTCAAGAAGACAAACAGAATCTTAATTCTTTTGGTGTTTCTAGATCTAGGCACATAGCAGTTGTTCAGTGAATGCTTGTTGAATGAATTCTATTTACATAAAATATGACTATTTAAAAACATATAATACAGAATGTTAAATGGCACACAACAAAATATGATTTTCATCTGTAAGTCTGTCCTAAAAATAGGAAAACTGCTTGAAAATTTTCTTTAATCCGTGTTCCTTTATGTTATAACATCAAGCCCATTGTCTATATTATAGGCAGGAAGAAGAAAGGGAAAAGTAGAAAAGCGCTTTCTCAGAAACCCTTCCTTATATTTTTGTTAGAGTTATTTCACATGGTGACGTAGAGTTGGTGGCTTAAGGGAAACTGTGTATATTGTCACCACTAATCACATCAGATCCTTGTTAGTAAGAAATCCATGAGATATTTTCTCTCCTAATGGTACATAAAATCTATACAAATATTTATGATGGTCTGACATATATATATATATATATAAGGCAGGCGAGGTGTCACTGAGCCAGATCCCTGGCCCTGACTTTTAATTTTTTGACTTTATGTTGTGCTAAATTAAGCACTTAGTAGAAACCATATTTTGAATTTTCATCATTTTCTGAGCTGTGGAACAATGCTTTTTTGATACTGGGCAGCAACAGCAAGCTGGAGCTCCATCAGCCACATACTTATAAGAGGGAACAACCAATGCTCTGTAGTGCAATGGGTTGCTAAACTGTGGTATTTGGTAGGTTAGCTGTGTTATATGCTTTTTTTTTTTTTTTACTTATGTATGGTATTTTCAACTTAAAAGATTGTTTGGGATGTAACCCTAGTATAAATTAAGGAGCACCCATATATTACGTACTCTGGCTAATGAAGTGACTGGATAATTTTAGACTAACTTCATTGGGTCTGTTCATTTTTGCTTGGAATATTTATATGTTACATATTTTCTATAAAAACTTGAATAATGACATTCAAACAGTATAGAAAAATTAGTAAATTCCTTATCTCCCAGATGAAAATATAGAATTTTACAAAGATCTTGGTAATAATTTGGTAATTTGACGAGAACCAACTCTGAGCTATGTCCTCAGCTCTCTGTTTTGTTTTTCAGCTGCAAAATTTTTAGTATATGTGATGCCAAAGTGAGCACTGAACTGCAAAATTGAGAATCATCTTTGTTCCTTTTTCTGATACTTTTGATCACTTTTCCATGTCTTTATTCCTTAAATGAAAAATCACATTTTTATTTCTTAGAGCCCCTTACAAGGCCTAAATGGATAGAGTATGCATAAGGAGTAAAGAGAACATTGTAGGTTGATGAAACTCTAGGGAATTCAGGTCATTATTCTCATTATAGACTTTAAACTTTTAAGGGAAAATTAAGGGTATAAGAGGAAGAAAATATGAGTGGAATTCTGGAACTTTTGTACCGTTTTATATCAGAATGCCTTGTCCATATTGGATAATTCTCAAACATTTGTTGAATGAAATAAATGGTAAAACAAATATTGATAAAATAACTCCCACCTTTTAGATTTTAGCCTCAAATTTATACAGTAAATGAAGGATTACAAATTAGATACTTGAAAAGATTCTAAAAGATGCTAAGAGCTAGTAAAAGAAGGAAATGACAAATGTTAACCTTACATGATAACTACTAGTTACTAGCATTAATGTAGATAGTTATTAAAAAATGTATATAAAAAGTGATTTGCAAGAAAGCTATAATAATTGAAAAATTTCTACACATAACACTAAAATTTTAATTAGAGAAAATGAGATACATATTTCTGGAATTTAAATATCTTTTTAATAAATTCAAATTTTTGAATATTTGGCAAATTATTTTGCTTTCTACACTATATGAGACCAAAGGGAATATTTTAATCTTTTATATAAATGTATTTTAGTGAATATTAAGCATGTGTTGAATACTAAATTTTTGGTATAAGTACTTGAGGGAGCCCATCTGCTTTATTGTGCAGAATCTTCAATGGTCAGCACCTGGTACAGAGTAGGCATTTAATAAATATTTGTTGAATGTGTAAGTCTTAGAATGTTAATGATAGACTAGATTTTTGTAGGTCATTTTGTTTTGTGCTTTCAAACTACTCTGTTCTGAAGAGGTGCTTTTAGGGGTTTTGTCTTAAAACAGTGAAGAGGTTGTGGTAGTTTTTTTCTCACACATTTGTTAAGTTTTCAAATGAGCCTGACTCTGCCACATATATTGTAAGGAGCTGGTGAAAGCTTAAAGATAGAAAGTTGTCTTGAGCTTTTGTGTATCAGATATTAGCTGTCACAGTTTATCTCATAAGTTTAAGTCCTACAGACAGGCTGACCAATGCCTGTCTGACCTGAGGAGAGTATGTGCTGAGGGATGCTTTTCCATCCCTGTGATGGATTTTTCTACTTAAAGAACAAAACAACAGACAAAAAACTGAAGAATTTAGCAAAATTAGAAACTTCATTACTGCTATTTTAAAAATATATATCCCAATAAATTTTATTTGAGTAAAAGGTTGTGGTGCTAAAGCATATGTAAAAACTATTTCATGGGTACAAGTACAGAAAAAACAAACCAAGAGATTTTACATGAATTTTCTAAGATTATGAATCTAGTAAGTGACTGAGATGAGAGCCCACACTCTGACTCCAGGCCAGTGTTGAAGAAAACATTGTCTGTAAAAGGATCCCCACAATTGAGTAGCTAAATCTTGGAAGCATCTTATATGCCCATCAACAGATGAATGGATATAGAAAAAGTGGTATACACACACACACACACACACACACACACACACACACAATGGAGTACTACTTAGGCATAAAGAATGATAATTTTGAGTCATTTGTAAGAAAATGGTTGCACCTTGAGACCATAATGTTAAGGTAATAAATAAGACCCACAAGTATAACTACCGCATAATTTCTCTTTTGAGGAACCTAAAATAGGAAAAATTTATAGAGAAAAAAGATAACATGAAATAGGGAGATATATCCTTTGTAAATGAGAAGGGTAACTAGAGGTAGAGGGTGGGAGGAAGACAAGGGGAAGTAAAAAGAATTAAGATGTGCTCTGTATATGTACTAGCTCTCCACAAGGAATGTAATCGTTTTGTTTAGCAAATGTGTTAATAAACAGAAAGATCCTAACACTTCAAAGTGAAGCACTCCCAAGGCATTCCTAGGAGTGGAGACAAGAGCTGGGCTGCTCTACTTGTGAATGCTTCGAGCTAGGTAATGTTAATAAAAGCAAATCACAATTAACACAGGCCCTTTCTTTCTGGTGCTTATACTCTTACGGAAGGAATCTTTTCTATCTACACACACAGAAATACTTTTATGAATTGGGGGCACACAATTATTCACTTATTAACTTATTCAACTAATGTGTTTTGCACTTGAGGATAAGCCCTCGTGCTGCTCACTAGAGCTGTAAGGATAAATGAGTCTCAGGTATTGAAGGGGCTTCCAGTGAAGTGGAAGAGATGTGGTGAATGGGCAGCCGGGTGGAGCTGTGATGGGGAAAATACGGGGATTTATGCACTGTTGAGGATTCGAGGAGATCTTCCCCAGGGAGGCCATAATCATGGTGAGCTGTAATGGATGAATTAGATTCACTGGGCAAGGAGGAAGATGAGCCCTGTGCTAGGAATAGATCATTTCCAGCTGGCCTGCTTGAAGTGTCACTGAGTACTCTGCAGCTTCTTCCACAACAGCTACTTCCTTGTCTGTTATGTTTGCTCATGTTTCTGGGTCAGATTCCATTTGAACACTTTCTGAGGGAAAAAAAGTTTGAAACATCATTTAGTGGATTAGTGATAACATTTTGGTAATTTGTATCAAATTATGTGTATGTCTGTCTGATTTTGGGTGAGCCAAAAATTAAATTGCTGTGATTGAGGTTTATGTTGGAAATAATTTAGCCTTTGTAGAATACTCACATTGCCTTTATTTATTTTATTTTATTTATTTTTTTGGTACCGGGGATCGAACTTGGGTCTCATGCATGCAAGACAGGCGGCAGAACCACTGAGCTAAATCTCCGGCCCCACATTGCCTTTATAAAAACACTATATTACTTTTATAAAGTTGTGAATTGCTAACAAGATTGTAGTAGGATGTTGATAAAACTATATAATGATTGTATAATGAAAATTAGCCATTTGTTTATTATTTTTATCCCATGCTCATAACAGAACTTTCAGAAATATGCCTTTAGTATATGGTTTTGCTAAATAAAATTGAAGTTAATATAAAAAGTCATCATGTTAGCAGTAAAAATGAACACTCAAATTTAGTTTTTAACAATAGCTAGTTTTTAATTATCCTCTGTAACCTATTTGGCCTTCAATTTTTTAAGACGGAAGAACAAAAGTCAGCATATATCATCAGTTCAGTTGTATACTTTCTAAATTGGGTCAGTTCATCATAGGTTGTACTTTATTTTTTTATTTAACTGTTTTGTTTTAAACTTGACATAAAATTGCATATATTTATTGTGTACAGTATATTTTGAAGTACATATACATTGTATAATGACTAAATCCAGCTAATTAATGTGCAGTGTCTCACATATTTATTATTTTAGTGGTGAAAAAACACCATCCAGTCTCAGCATTTTTAAAGAATATCGTATTCTTAGCGAGGCACAGTGGCACAATCTTTAATCCTATCTGGGAAGCTGAGGCAGGAGGATTGAGAGTTCTAGACCAATGTGGGCAACTTAGCGTGATTCTTTCTCAAAAAAAAAAAAAAAAAAAAGTGGGATGTAATTCAGTGGTAGAGTGCCCCACGTTTTATCCTCAGTACAGAAGGGGGAAAAAAAACTATTGTTAATATCGTTAACTGTAGTCATCACTGTGTACAATAGATACCTTGAACTTGTCTTTCCTATACAACTGCAATGTGTTTTTTGACCATCTTCCCCTTTCTCTCCACCTCCACCCTCAGCTGCTTCAGTCCTTTCACCATTCTACTTTCTGGATCTATGAAGTCACTTTTTTAAGATTCTGCACATGAGTGAAAGCATGTGGTTTTTGTCTTTCTGTGCCTGTCTTAATTTCATTTAACATAATGTCCCAGGATTATTCCGTGTTATCATGAATGGTATAGTTTTCTTTTTTGATGTCTGAATAGTTTATGCCACATTTACTTATCTGTTTGTCTATTGATGGGTACTGAGGTTGATTCTATATCTTGGCTATTGTGAATAGAACATTTGAATTTCAGGAAGAAGCTTAAACTGAATAATTTAGTCCATATAACTTGTAATGTGGGTAGTGGTTATGCAATGGGAAAATTACCCCTTCTGTTCTGTTTTTGAGGTATTGGGTATTAAATCCAAGGCTTCACATATGTATATGAGGCTTACTAGGCAGGTGGCTCTACCACTGAGAGCCCTACCACCCAGAGCCCAAAAGGTATAAATACATAAGAAGAGTTTGTAATGTTTTACAATTTTTCCCTCTTTTTTCTCACTTCTCTCTACTTTATTTTGAGTTGTGGTACTAGAGGAAGACTGTTAGGGAGACCTGTGAATTAGAGATAGGAATGGAAAGGATCTGATTATAAGGCACGGTATGAGAGGAGGCAAAAAAGCGGGAGGGGAAGGTAAGATTTGGTTAAGTGTTAAGTAATTAATGGGACAGAATGAAACAGTGGGGACATGCACAGGAGAAAGGCATGGAACATGGGTCATTATTGTCACATCAGTCACCAAGGCTTCTGTTTCTGGGTATAGTCTGTAATTTCATTTGTGTCTTCTTTGTCCTCCCACCCAGTGAAATTTTCAGAGGCATAGTGGTACCCCTGCTTAGCAGTTCTAACACATGTAGAGAATTGTTGGGTTCTGATGCAACCTACAAATCCATATGTGGATTAGTGGATTCTTAGGCATGGGTGAAATAAAATTTTGTATGTTGCTTAAATTTATAACACATAATCACTGAGCTAGTGTTTTAGATGAAACTCTTACTTTTCATTCCCAGATTTTAATAATTCGTGTGGTGGTTAAGAAACAGATGTTAGAACATCTAAATAGTTGTACAGTTAGCTAACTTGTTGGCTAGAATGAAGTGTATTAACTTTGGCCTCTGACAATGCTACACAGGATAATCTTCTTTAAATGCTAATTTGATTGTATTATTTCCTTGCCTTAAGTGCCTTTGGTGGTTCCTTATTGCCTGAACTGCCTTTCTTCTTTGTTACTAAAGCCTCCCCGTTTTTCTCTCTAGCTTCTGCCCCTAGGCCATGTCTGTTGTTCAGTGAGTGCTTTTTGATTAAATTATTTAAAAATGATACATGAATGAATCAATTTGAATCCATAATATCAACATTAGTGGAAAAGGATTGAATTACAATTCCTAGATCTTGTTACTTACTTAAGTGTTAAAAAGCAGTGCCTTTAACATTTCACATATATTCAGTGTACAGTTAAAGGGCGGCACAGTAGGTAAAGCACAGAAGAAAACTTGCTTACTGATTCCCAACTCCCCAGTCTGTCATTACCTAGTTATGTGGAATGTCTCTTAAACACATCTCTTGAATTTGTTTTTTTTTTCTTCTCCTGTTTCTACTACATTCATTTCAATCTGATCCACCACCATCTCTCTTTAAAATGTATGTTTTGTTGTTATTCAGTTATGATGAGACCAATAGATGAAGAGATGACTGGCGTAGAAAAATTAAAACATTGTAATAAAAATAATAAAGATATATTGTTAAACTCAACAGATTCCAAAAGAAGACAGACCATCACTGGGAGCTATACAGGGAAGCACTAGATCAGTCAGAAGGCAGAGTAAACAAAGGGAGAGAATATGGGCTAGAAATTTTATTGTGGCTTTTATGGGAAGGAACAGGTGAGATAGGCTAAAGCAGTGCTCACGAGAAATGGGCTAATAATTCCAGTGAACTCTGGGCCTGAGTGTTGTTGCTACTTGCTTGATACTGGCTCTAGGGTAATTATGGCAAGGGCATAATAACTCTGTAGTATAAATTGGGTTTATGTGCTTGAGAATGATTGGTTTTCATATGAAAGGCATGCATCAGTGTAATTTGTGTGTTAAGTAGAATTAGCCAACCTTAAGAAGAGCAGTCCCTCAAGTTTAGCAAGGTTCCATGTATCACAGCATTAAAATGCAGAAAGTAAAAAGATACGCTTATTAAAAGAACTTCAAATAATTTTTTAACCTTCTCCCTGTATACTATTTTTTTTTTTTGGTACCGGGGATTGAACTTGGGACCTTGTGCTTGTGAGGCAGGCCACAGAACCACTGAGCTAAAATATCTGGCCCTCCCTGTATCCATTCTTGCATACCATCTTTGGTTTTGAGGCTTTTCATGATCAGGTATCTACCTTCATCTACAGCTCCTTATGCTGTATTCACTTTATTCCAGGTGTGCTCATCTCATTTTAGTTTTTCACACTCACTTTCTTCATTCTTAGAGCCTTTGTATGGGTAGTTCTTGATGTGTGAATGCACTTGCTATCTGGATAACTTCTAGTCAAACCCCCCCCCCATTTTTTTTTTTTTTTGGTACCAGGGATTGAACTCCAGTCCTTGTGCTTTTGAAGCAGGTGGTGGAACCACTGAGTGAAATCCCTGGCCCTCTAGTCAAACTTTAAATCTTAGCTTCAGGCCTCCTTGAAGAGGCCTAAATTGGGGCCCGCTTGTTAATTTTTTTCATCAGTTTGTTCATTTATTCAGTACTTATTTATTTTGTACATATGAGAAGGGAGGTATTGAAGTTAAAGTGGAGAGTAAGATTGGCATGTATCTTTATGGGGCTTTTATTCTTCTGGAAGAGGCAGGTAAAAGTTAATGGTAATAATAAGTGTTTTATAGTAAAAAGGGTGTTGATAATAGAGAATATCAGAGGACAACCAATAAGTAGCCCACTATATACATATGGACTCTAGGGTTTAAGCCTTTCTTTCTTTCCCAAATCTGTGAATTTTGGAATTCACAGCAGCTCAATGAATGAATGACATTTTATTGTTAAGACTCACCCATTTCTACTTTCAGTTTTTTTCCACATATTCCAATTCTTTCCAAGTCAGGAGCTACCATGGAATATGATGTATTCCATTCCTTCATATGAAGTAGGATTAATATAATTTGAAAAGGTGAATGTGAAATAAAGTTACAGCTAGTTTTCTCATAGCATACCTCCTTCTGTTCTTATCATTGTTAGTAATAATTAAATTTATTTAGATTCACTTCTAAGACCAGTATATTTCATTCTGGTGTATGCTATATGAAGTTCAGAATTGTGGCTGTCTAGTTCATTGCTATGTACTAACCATCTAGTTTGATGTCTGACCAAAGTAGAGTGAATGAATGTCAGATGATAAAAATTATTATTTAGGTGTGTGTCCTTAATGTGACTGTGTAGATCTATTTGCTTACTTGTGTAGATTTAAATTATTTCCTTATTGAAAGAAATTGAGCCAAAATGGGAGCACCCAAGGAAAGGCTATATTGGGAGAAGGAGCTCCCAGGCTGTCTTGAACAATGGCAAGAGAGGGTGAAACTATCTAGGGTGAGGTTTACATAGGGCAGTGCAGTGGGGCGAGTATCATCAGAGTTGAGAATTAGTCCTGCTGTGGGGCTAGCGACCAGGTGCCAGGTGATTGGAAGGGGAGGTTCATGGAGTAGCAGGGTGGAGCAACATATTAGGTTTTGCTTATCCACAGGTTAGGTTTCACTCCCCCCGAAACAAGTGGCTCATTTTTGTAAATGGGAATCATTTTAGGAATGGGAGCCATTTTAGAATGCAGGACCATTGGAGCCATTTTGTCTGGTAGAGAACTCTATTACATATTTTATGATGTAGCGTTGAAACATTCTTCTATTTGATCTTAGATTAATATGGGCTACAAATGATTTTTTAAGTGTTCTTTTGACTTTTTTTTTTGGACACAGGGTCTCACTATGTAGTTCAGGCTGGCCTTGAACTCACTTTGTAGTCCAGGCTGGCCTCAAAATTGAAGTGATCCTCCTACCTCAGCTTCCGAAGTACTGGAATTACAGGCGAGCACCACCATGCCTTGCTTTTGACTCATTTTTAAGTGGGAGGTATCCTTAATTTTTGTAAGAGTTGCCAATCTTACCCTCAGCACTACTGATTACTTGGTGTATATGGCAAGATAAGATACTCATTATTATATGCTTCTCAGTGAACATAGTTGTGATTTCACTGTTACTTTCAAAATCTGAATGAGAAAGGTAATATTTAAAGTTTTTTTCTGAATGATATTTGATCTGTCTTTTGAAGTGAAGCTCAACTTTATCTGTTTCCATCAACTGTAAAGCTTTGAAAAGACCTATTGCATCAGAACTTGTAGGTGTTCGATTTACTATAGGAAGTTTTGATGCAAAGGCAGGTATAAGAGCACTACTCCTTACTCCCTTCTAAAGATTTCTATATAGGTACTCATACCTCAAAGACATGTATATAAGAAAAGTATTTTTGTGTTCCCTATGATTTGAAATTCTTCTCTCTTTTTTTTTCTTTTTTTGAGGCAGTCCCTCCGTGTAGTTCTGGTTGCCCTTGAATTCACTATGTAGCCCAGGCAGCCTCAAACTCATAGTGAGCCTCCTGCCTCGGCCTCTCAGGTACTGGGATTACAGGCACGTGCCCCCGCCATGTGCTTTGAAGTTCAGTCTGTATGTTAGTTTCGTTTTAAACAAGTGCTTTTGTCAAATGGTTAAAGTGAGCATTTAAAAATTCCCAATAGGTAATTTGTATTCTCAACACCTAGAAAAAGCTACATGACTCGAAATGTATAACATGGGAATTGACAAGAGACAAGGGTAAAGAGTTAGCCTTTGAAAGATTTTAAATGTGATATAAAGCAATTTAGACTTTTTTCTTTGGATTATGGAGAGCTAGTGAAGTTTTTTAAATCAGGAGAGCAATGTGATCGGTTTCTTTTTCTTCTGATTTAAAAAAGGTTGACTTGTCAACTATATGGTGCATAGGCTAGAATGGGGAAGAAAACTATGTCAGTGGGAAGCATGTGTATGCAAGAGGTTATGAAGAACAGTAGAAATAAGACATAATTAAATTCTGGTTCAATAGCCATCTGCTTAGGCCCTTAAGCTCCATCTAGCCTGCTCTACCTTTGATTTTAAGACTTAGCTAAAATTGTACAGGCTTCACTGGGAAGCCTTCCTGACAGTTTTCTTTCAACATTCTTTTTTCAATGGTGTCTTTATATATGGTATGTTTGTAAATGCGCGCGCGTGTGTGTAAATACATAATTTTGAAGTTGAGCGGTTATTACAGTGGACTCTTCAGTTACAAATGGCGTGTCATACAAACAAGTTGGGTTAATGAAGTTAATGAAAGATTCATCTGCTTTCTTGTTAACTATAGTGTTTGCCCAGGTAAACATCCAGATCTCAGCTATATTGACTTAGTTACAACCAGCCCTTGGGAACTGATCAAGTTTGTAAGTCAAGGGTCCACTTTATATCCATTACATATTAGTAACAGATTATTTTAAAGTTGAGATTTAATATCTGATTGAATGTAAAATCCTTAGAAGATTTATATTTAAAATGCTCTCATTAAAGGAAAATGTTTTCATTTGTTCCTTATGTTAAATAGTAAGTCCCTTGCCAAAATGAAGTGTTATTTTCCTTGGGAATCACTCAAAACATTTGGGCCTCCTCTGGTTTATAATCCTGTTAAATTTTATCCATGAATTAAAGCCTAATTATACACAGTTGATGAACTCTAGATACAGACAATTCAATGTACAATGGAAGTTTACTCATTAAGTTTACTTATTGGAACATTATGAAATGTTGAAAATACTTTGTATTGGAATTAAGAAAAAATGTACTTTGGGAATTAAAACTAAATGTAATTGTCTCTATTTTTCTTTAGCCCATATGTTGTAAAGTACTATGGCAGTTACTTTAAGAACACAGACCTCTGGATTGTTATGGAGTACTGTGGAGCTGGCTCTGTCTCAGACATAATTAGATTACGAAACAAGACAGTAAGTATTTTAAAATTGTTTTGCTAATCTCATTTCTAAAGATTCCTATTTTAGGATCTGACTAGGTAGTATTTTGTTACAAAGAAAATATCACTGTGAAAAAGAAAAGCTTTTATGCAGTTAAAGAGATCTAGAATGAGATAAGAGAACCAGCCACATATCTGTCTGTGGCAAATTTAAGAATTGTATTTTATTTTATTTGAGAATTGTTTATTAAAATAATTTTTAGTGAGTCACTGAGAAACTACCATGATACTCCTCTTCATTTGAATCAGTATGTGTGTATATTTTATTAATGTGACCTTAATAAATTATGGCTAGAATTTTATATTTAAAGCTCATAATATTCCTGATATTTCCTAATTATAATGTTTCTGTATTATAATTAACACCTGCTAAATAATTAAAGTAATTATATGTTTCTGAATTTTTAAAAACAATTGAGCTAGGTATATATCACATGCCTGTAATTTCAGCACTTTGGGAGTCTGAGACAGGAGGATTGGAAGTTGGAGCCCAGCCTGTACAATTTAGTGGCTTAGAAAGGCCCTGTTACTAAATAAAAATTAAGAAACGGCCTGGGGCTCAGTGCGCAAGTCTTGGATTCAATCTCCAGTACCACCAAAAACAAAAACAAACAAAAAATTTGTATTTATTTTCCCAAACGTAGTCCAGATATTTAAAAATGGTAGAGCTAGTTTATTTATGTTTTTATTTTTGTGAAATCAGCTTAGTGAAATGTGTTACTTAATGAAAGCTTTTATGGTTATGTTTTAACCTTAAGTAGGAGTGGTATAGTTATTTGCAAAATACTTTACTTTAGGCAAGCAATGCATCTGGTTTATTTGGACAATTTCTTAGGACTAAAGTGACCTTTTCATATGTGAGTGGCCAGGAAGAACAATGGAATAATTTGTAACTCTCTAGAACAGTAATTCAATTACTATATGACATTATTATATGTTGTCAGACATATTTCAGTAAAATACATTCAGAAAAAAATACTTAACTGCTTGAGTCAATTTGTGGTTAACCAGAATCATTTTAAAATTTGATTGGGGAAATACATTGTAAATTTATCCTACTAATTTTTTTGTCTGTTAAAGAAAATAAAGTAAATAGGATTTCTTTGTAAAGGAAATGAAACAGAAGTTAAAATAATCCTTGTTTTGACAGAATGGATTAAGTGATCTGTGCCATTCTAATTACATATTTTAGAATTTCTATGGTGCTTAACTAGCATTTATGTAAATAAGGTGACTGAAGTGGCAAACAATGCTTTATTTGAAGGTAATTACACTTCAGTTAGAAAAGCATTTTAAAATCATTTCAAGGCTAAACTCAATGAATTTGGTGTCTAGAATTATCAAATGGGAGTGTGAAGTAAAAGTGGATGAAATGGAAAATTTTAAACATCTTTTTTTATGTTTTAAAGTGTTAATGCCACTGTTTTGAATGCATAGTCTTTGAACTAAGAAGTTTATTTCTTGTTGCCAATAATTACAAACTGAAAATATCCTGTAGTTCTTAAAGATAGGTGTGTAAGTGATCATTATTCTCAGATATTGCCTTCACCAGTTATCACAGGAAAGACTTTACCCCTTCATATTCTGTGTTAGAGAACAATTTACTAAGCATGTTGAAGAGTTATTTGGAATAGTCTAATTGTTGTCACAGAGCAATTGTCCTTGGTTCTGGGCTGGTATGAGAAAAATCTAATTACCATATATTAAAAAAAGATCCAGCGCTACACAAGAGATAGACCAGGAGCCAAGGTTTATTGTCTTTTGCCTTGGTGACAACACCAATAAGAGCTCAAGGACATCACATTAGTATCTTTCTTTTCCATCCTAAGCACATTCCTCATTATTTATCTACGCTCTTAAGAGTAAGTACCATTATTGTTAAGGTCAGCAATGTTAGGATATATGTCAGATGTGAGGGTTTTCTGGCTGTGGCAACTGTCACCCCATTGATCTCACTGAAGTTGATTTGGCAGATCTGGTTGGCTAGGTGAGTGACCCTTTCCTCCCTCTGCACTCTTTGTGTCCTCCCAAAGCTTCGTGCTGGTTGAAGAGGAAGACCATTTCCATATAGGAGAACTGTTTCCTTGGTCAAGGATATACAAGTATCTGTGCTTCCCTGCTAGAACCTTTCAAGGCTATGTGTCATCTCTCTTTTTAAAAAATACCTAGACATTGTAAATATTTTATCATTTTATGGGAGTGTTCACTGGAGTGATAATCTTGATTGAATTTCAGAGGCATGGCTGTTACTGATTGGCTAGCTTTCAAAAATGTGACTAGTGAAACAGTTGTCATTTATCTATTAAACAGGTGTAAAAGTCACTCTCAAATTGTTTTCATGGTAATAAAATAATAAATCTTTTCCTAAGAATGTGACAGCTTCATTTTTAGGGCTTATGTGCTTTTTACTTTATGTGCTTTGTTCTTTAGTGTGCTCATTTTAAATAGTACAAGGAATTGTTACTGTTTTACATTGTTGGTGTTTATATTTATCCACGTACTATATGCATTTTATTGTTCTTTATTCCTTTTTGCATTTCCCAGTTGCCTGTAGAACTTCCATTTAGTGAAGTTTTGGTAACAAGGTCTAATTTTCTTTTGGATGGAAATGTATTTCACTTCATTTTTGAACTACATAATTGCTCTGTAAAGAATTTTAGATTGGCAGTTTCATTTAGTGTTTGAAGATGTCATTTCCTAATTATCTGGTTTCCATTGTATTTACTGATAAATATTACTGTTGCTTTGTTGATGGTAATTTATCAATTTTTTTTCAATTGCTGTTAAAGTGTTTTACTTTTAGATAAACTCTTTACTTTGATGTGTACCTAGTTGTATTGTTTCTTGGTATTTATCCCTGTGGGGTTCTTATTGCATCTTGTTTCTGCATCTTGATATTGTCATCAGTTTTAGAAAGCTCAATTATTATCACTTTAAACAGTGTTTTTTGCCCATTCTGTCTCATGATTTTTCTGGGCTTCAAATTGTATGTACTTTAATTTTTCTTCTCTGCTTTATGTACTTTATATACTTTCATGTACTTTTTTTCTCCATTCTCTACAATCTTTTCTTCTGTTGCATCTTCTTCTAGTACACTGGTTTTCTATTTTCCTATGTCTGATCTGCTTGTAAATCATCTACTGCATTTTAAATTTTAGTTTAAATTTTAGATTCTACAATTTTTATTTAATTATTTAAAAAAGTTTGCAACTCCATAAAAAAATTTAAAATCCTGTCCTTTATTTCAAAGAACATATTACAGTCTGTAATTTGTCTAAAAACTTCATTTTCTTGATCTTCTGTGGGTCTATTTCTATTATTTATCTTGAATTTCATGTTTCTTTGTGCCTGGTTATCATTGAAAGAGTGCTAGACATTATGTAAAATACGGCTGAGATTATTTGTGCCAAATGATGATGCCTTCTTCCACCATCATGCTTCTGTCTGGTGACTAGGACTAACTATCCATAGACAACTTGAATTTGGGCTTTGATCTCCTATCATAGGATATCTATAGCATTATAGTGTTATGGCAAATTGTGATTTCCAGTCTTTGTCCTATGTCTTATGAGACATTCAGAAGATTGTTCTGCTGTGATTCTTATTCCATAATTTACAGATACCTTGAGAAAAGTGGTTCTTATTGGTAGGCTTACCTCTTAGGTTTTGTTCCCTCATATCTTGATTCCAGACCAAAGAAACAGCTTTTGTATTTTTATTAGTCTTCAAATGAACTTTTGAATGTATTTTGTTCATTTTAGTTCTTTCAGCAAGAGTGGTCTGAATTATCTAGTATATCATTACCAGAAGTGAAAGGCTTTTCTAATAGTTTGAGTTTTGTTTTTAACAGTTAGGTCTTAAGTCTGGCTGGAATTTACCTTTGTAGGTGATATGAGGTTGGGATCTATTTTTTCGGTGTGGAAATCTCATTTCATAATCAAGTATCCCTTTTCCAACTGATGTATGAGCCTCCTCTACTCAGATTCTCCATATAGATACCTAGCTCTATGTTTGTCTTCATTATATGAACTATTTCATTGATTTATTTGTCTGCTTCTGCAATAGAAATGTACTTTAAATTACATGGCACGTTTGAGATCCAGAATACAAATTAATTTGTCTTTGTTTTTCTTGACTTCCCACATGGCTTTTAGACTAAGTTGTCAAATTCCACAAAAAGTTGCTAGAGTTTTGATTATAATTATATTTAACTTCCTAGATTAATTTGGGTTGATTGTTATTTTGCTGTTCATAGTCATCCTATATCTCCTTTTATGTTTTAAATGTCCTAGTAAGTCTCCTTGAAAATTTTACACATTTTAAATTTAGTTTGTTTCTAGAGGTTTTGGCATTTTTACTGCTATCATGAATGATTTTTAAAAATTATATTTTCTAGTTGATTAATGGTGATATGAATATTATTTTTATGTATTCTTAGTATTCATTATTGCTCAGTCCACTTTGCTGTTTGTCGCCTTCTGACCCTCTTGCTTCATTTTTACCAATTAGTAATTTGCTTTCTGTCCAACGTACCCTCTTTTAATTCAATTAATATGATCCGATATTGACTTTTGTATTGATTCTCGTCTAGTGACCTATTTATTCTTATCTGTTTAGTAATTTTAGGAGCTTTATTTTTGTTACTGAAATCTATGCTCTGTGTTTGGCATCTGTTTCTTTTTCTTTTTTTTTTTTTTGAGTTTATTGGTACATTTAGGGATACAGTACAGTTACATTCATTGTTGGGACCATGTACCTTTACATGGCAAGTCTTGATTCTCATTTTTTTCCCCTTACCTCTGCCCTCCCTTCACCCCCTCTCCCCCTCTC